TGAAAGCTGTGTGCTGTAACAAGTGCCTGCTGAGCACCTGCTGCATATGGTAAGAAACTGCTCTAGTTTTTGTGTCGGAAACAAAAGATGTGTGCTTCTGCTTTTAAGGAGCTTATGCTATACATTGCCCTGACATTTGGCAAAGTCTCAGATAAAAATGGATGTTACATTTTGGGACCATCAGGCTGGATACAGTGGCTCTCGCCTGTAATGCCAGCACTTGGGACCCTGAGACGAGAGGATTCCTGAGCCCAGGGTTCGAGGCCAGCCTGAGCAACATAGTAAGACCTTGTCTCTACAAAAAAAATTAAAAACTTAGCAAGACATTATAGCGTGTCCCTGAAATCCCAGCTACTTGGGAGGCTGAGGTGGAAGGATCACATGAGCCCAGGAAGTTGAGACTGCAGTGAACTATGATCATACCATTGCACTCCAGCCTGGGTGACAGAGTGAGACCCTGTCTCTAAAAAAATAAATAAATACAAGTTGTGGCTGTCATTCATATAGGCCCCAAGCTGATGGTCTTCTTGAGTCTCTGAAAACCAGACTTTTAAGTCTTTTTTGTTTTTTTTGTAGAGATGAGGTCTTGCCAAGTTGCCCCGGCTGGTCTCGAACCCACAGCTCAGTTAACCCACTTGCCTCGGCCTTCCAAAGTGCTGGGATTACAGGCTAAGCCACTGAGCTCGGCCCTAGTTGTCTTTTTTTAAAAATCATCATGCCAGGCTCAGTGGCTCAGCCTGTAATCCCGTGCCTTTGGGAGGCTGAGGTGAGCAGATTGCCTGAGCCCACGGGTTCGACACCCACCTGGGCAGGCGAGACCTCATCTCTACAATAAATCAAAAATTAGCCGGGCATGGTAGCATGTGCCTGTAGTTCCAGCTACTTGGAAGGCTGAGGCGGAAGGATCGCCAAAGCCCAGCGGGTCGAGGCTGCGGTGGCCGCTCCCGGCCACTGCACTCCAGTCTGGGCGACAGAGTGAGACTCCAACTCAAAAAAATAAAAATAAAAATAAAAAATCATCATAAGCAATACATAGCTGACATGTGGTAAGCACTCGGTGTACTCCTGCAAAGAATGAATGTTCATTGCCATTTTATTTATTTTTTACTTTTATAGATTTAGGGGATTCACATGCAGTTTTGTTATGTTCGTTGTTGTTTTGAAGCAAAACTACAAATAAACCAAAAGAAATTGTGTCACCTATCTTATCACACAGACCTAGCCACTGCCATACTCCCAGGGCAGGTGATAACTAGCCAGTGCCTCCCTGCCCTGCCCACATACGCACACGCTTACCCCCTTGGGCCCTAAAGTCTTCCTTCGGTGGGCGAACTCTCCCCAGAGGCCGTAGCCATGGTAATCAAGCTGGTGACCCAGGGATACTGACGGTGTGCTTGCCAGGAAAATTCCTTTGGATAACTACAATAATCTTTGCTTTGTACTTACTATTGAAGGTGGCCTTGTGAGGTAACAGATAAACAGCATGGTTGAATGGGAAGAGCAGTGGATCAGGGGTCTATAATTTTGAATGTTAATCCTGACTAACCACATACTCGAAACTACAGAATATATTAATTTTTTTTTTGTAGAGATGGGATCTTGCTATGTTGCCCAGGCTAGTCTGGATCCTCCTGCCTCAGCCTCCCAAGTAGCTGCAATTACAGGCATGAGCCACCACGCCCAGCTAAAGAATATATTTAACCACTTTGGATCTTAGTCTCCACAAAGAACTGCATTTTGGTTCTTCCATGGGGGTCTAAAGCCATAAACCTCAATTTCCTTGTGCCTTCTCCAGGACCCAGACTTTTTCTGTGTTATTAGGAATTAAGGGGCTACTTTTCCTTTAGTGGATAATTGTCTAAGATTCTAGCAACCAAGAATGAGCAATTAAAGAGAAAATAGCAGAATATTTCTGAATTTGTCCAGCGGTTCTTTTTACTAGAAGGGCCATTTCTAGTCAGAGGACTTCAGAGCATGAGAAAACTCTCTGTTAATATGATGGTTATAGTCCTTGTTAGCCTAAACTTACAACCTGAATGCTCTTAATGATACACATGTGTGTTGTAATTTGTAAATATAACTCAAAACCCTATATCTGAGCCAGGCCACTTGTGGTTGGCCATTCAGATTCCGCTTCTTTCTTTCTTTTGTTTTTTGAGTTGGAGTCTTACTCTGTCACCCAGGCTGGAGTGCAGTGACATGGTCACGGCCACCACAGACTCGACTGCTGGGCTCCAGCAATGCTTCCGTCTCAGCCTTCCAAGTAGCTGGAACTACAGGTGTGCGCCACCATGCCTGGCTAATTTTTTGGTTTATTGTAGAGACGCGGTGTCACCAATTTGCCCAGGCTGGTCTTGAACCCCTGGACTCAGGAAATCCTCTCGCCTCGGCCTCCCAAA